CTGCTCCACCGTCTGTCTGTCTGCTCCACCGTCTGTCTGTCTGTCTGTCTGCTCCACCGTCTGTCTGTCTTTATTCCAACTAAACTTGATGAAATCTTTGTATAAACTGATGTATAAGTTTCAGGAATGTGTCTTTAGATCATTTCTCTGGTCTGCAGCTTCACTGAAACACGTTGAAAACATAAAACAACTTATTTCAACGTCTCGTGCATTTTTCATCAGACTGTGCACGCCTCGATGCAGAGACGACCGTGTTTTATATCTGCACTCGAGCCATCAGTGGAAGGAAACTTGAGCAGTTCTAATCCTGATCTGGTTCTGATCACTGACCTGGACCCCAGAGAGGAAGGAAAGTGCACGTTGAACGAGTCCAACAGATGTGGACATACCGAGAAGACTTTCCAACGTGCAGGAGGGCCCGAGCTGACTGAAAACACACAATGTGTCTTTGTGACACAAACAGAAAGGAAGCCCAGATTTCCTTCATGCTGTCAGATCTTCTTTGTTGTTGCTCTGGTGCTCCTCATGTTCCTCTTGAGAAGACCCCATAGATTCTCAACGGGGTTTAGGTCCGACCAGTTGGCTGGCCAGTCAGGCACTGTGGCATCAAACCAGGTTCTGGTGCTTCTGGCAGCATGGGCAGGGACCAGGTCCTGCTGGAAGATGAACTCTGCATCTCCATACAGATCCTCAGCAGAAGGAATCATGAAGTCCTCTAAAACATTCTGGTAGACTGTTGCAGTGACCTTGGATTGAAGAAAGCAGAGTTTACCAACACCTGCACCGGACACTGCACCCAGATCAAGACTGACTGTGGACATTTCACACTGGACCTCAACCAGTATGGGTTCTGTTCCTCACCCTTCTTCCTCCAAACCCTTGGACCTTGATTTCTGAATGAAAGACACTTTCATCTGCAAAGAGGACCGAGGAACCCAACAGTTGTAGTCCATCTCCTGGATGAGTCTGAATGTGGTGGTTTTTGAAGCTGTGACTCCGCCTCATTCCACTCTTTCTGGATCTCTGACAGATTCTGGATCTTCTCTGTCTGATGATCCTCTGAAGCCCACGGTCATCTCTTTTGCTGGTGCATCTTCTCCTGCCACATGTTGTCCTTCCACTAGACTTTCCATTGATGTGCTTGGACACAGCGCTCTATGAACAGCCAGCCTCCTTAGCTATGAACGTGTCTTACCCATCCTATGGAGGGTCTCAATGATGGTCTTCTGGACAGATGTTCTGTCTGCAGTCTTCACCATATTGAACTGAGACAATTTAATGACACCTGGGGAAACCTGTGCAGGTGCTTTGAGTTTAGTAGATGATCAGTGTCACACTCAGTTTAAAACATTCATGTCCTGCAACATCTGGACTGATGTCTCCACAGTATTCTAATTTTTTGAAATCCTGTTTTCGTGGGTTTTATGAGTTGGAAGCTCAAATTATGTAAAAAATAAGATAAATACTTGTAATCATTTAAATTGTGGGCCTATTCTAATATTTTGGAAAGGGTCTGTATACACAAGTATTATATATAAATACATATATTTACAATAATCTTTACACCAAACCTAAAAACATAGATCCTTGAAGCGATTTCAGGGATGTTTTATCAGAATTGTGGATTTTATTAAATTAGAATAATTTAAATTGTTCAGTTTGTGAACTCACTGCAGAATCAGGACTCCTCCTTTAGTGCGACACGTGGCATCGCCTGGTGTGTACAAAAGAAAAATACAAGCTCAAAAAAGTAGAAGCAACTTTTGGAATGAAGGAATAATTTTATTTTCAAATTCATGCAAGAAAATCACTAAATCAAAAAGCAGATGTTGGAATGTTTCCACATCTGTACTGTTCCTGTGAGAAGAACAGCTGAATTCAAAGTGTAAAAATGGTGAAAAAGTCACATTTTAAATGAGTAACTTGTTAAATGAATGATATGTTGTTACAAACATCTATTTCACGACAAATGTGGAGTTCAGACTGGTTTTCAGAAAATATTTCAGATTAAGAAGTGAAACAAACGAGGTCAAAACAGAACCAGGAGTTAATTCATGATTTAAACTTGAGAGTGATTAAAAAAAAACATTATTGTAAATGACATCACATCCTACAACAGAACATCTTTTAACGAGCACAAAGAGTAACCAGCAGTAATCAGATTACAGCTTTTAATGAGTTCTCACATTTATCTATCTTAAACTGTAATTTCATTTTTTTCCCTTTTACAGATTTTCTTTGTGAATTATTTAAACTATTCCATTAAATTGTGTTTTTCTTAAAAGTCTTCTCACATTAGCCTTTTAATTAATATTGCTCAAATGTAACGTAAAGAAAAGCAAAAACATCATGAGACAAGTTATATCGCACTAAACCACACTGAAGAAAATACTTAAAATAAAATAAAACGTTGCCTGTACGGGAAAAAAAAAAGTTGGTTTTTAAGATCAGCTCGGTAGATTTATACATTTATTTATTTAATTGTTGTGCTAAATGTTCTTGTCTCACATTCCGAACGTTTTAATTATTGTAAAGTAGTAAAGGAGGAGGAATCCCACGTTCCTCTGAGTCTGCTGGATGTGGACCAGACTCATCAGAACCGTGGCTCTCCGGTACTTTTATCACAGAGGAATGATACGACGGAACAGCTCTCCACCAGCTTCAATAAATATCCGTTTATTCGTCTGCAGTCCGGATGGAAACCCTCCAAACCTCTCACTGTGGTACCTCAAACAGCCAAAAGGAAAGAACGCTTCTCCTGCAGGTCCGCCTGAAACGGTCAAAGGAACGAGGCGGCCGAGACTCAAAGATGGAGGACTATTTTAGGAGACGTTCGTCCTGCGCTTCTTCCTTATTGGTAGACCTGCACGTGACCGTGCAGGAAGGTGGAGTTCCCCCCACAGTCCACATACTGGTACATTTCTTGAGAGACCTGCTCCGTGTGACCGAAGTATGACGTCGTCACCGTCACCCTGAAACACACAGAGTCCGGTTTAACCAGAACACCCGGGGCCATGAGGACGAGCATGAACCTGCTGATGTTGAAAATCATTTAGCAGATTAGGTGAAGGAGTATTTCTTGAGGATTGTGTTAAAATGAAAACACAGATCAGTTTTGTAACAAAAATCCTTTTCAGATTTAAAATACAGAACCTCGACTTCAGACTGGTTCATTGTCCTCGCACCCTCAAAGAAAGAAATAATTTAATTAAACACGTGATCTGAGTGAATCCTCATCGTCTCTGTGGAGAACCTTTGTTTTTTTAAACACATTAATATGTAGTTGTTCTTTCAGCTGCTCCCTGCTGCAGGAGCTGCTCCCTGTTGCAGGAGCTGCTCCCTGCTGCAGGAGCTGCTCCATGCTGCAGGAGCTTCTCCCTGCTGCAGGAGCTTCTCCCTGTTGCAGGAGCTGCTCCCTGTTGCAGGAGCTGCTCCATGCTGCAGGAGCTGCTCCCTGTTGCAGGAGCTGCTCCCTGTTGCAGGAGCTGCTCCATGCTGCAGGAGCTTCTCCCTGTTGCAGGAGCTGCTCCCTGTTGCAGGAGCTGCTCCCTGCTGCAGGAGCTGCTCCATGTTGCAGGAGCTGCTCCATGTTGCAGGAGCTGCTCCATGTTGCAGGAGCTGCTCCCTGCTGCAGGAGCTGCCCCCTGTTGCAGGAGCTGCCCCCTGCTGCAGGAGCTGCCCCGTTGCAGGAGCTGCCCCCTGTTGCAGGAGCTGCCCCCTGCTGCATCAGCTGCTCCCTGTTACAGGAGCTGCCCCCTGCTGCATCAGCTGCTCCATGCTGCAGGAGCTTCTCTCTGTTGCAGGAGCTGCCCCATGTTGCAGGAGCTTCTCCCTGTTGCAGGAGCTGCTCCCTGCTGCAGGAGCTTCTCCCTGCTGCAGGAGCTGCCCCATGTTGCAGGAGCTTCTCCCTGTTGCAGGAGC